TAGATATTTCTTGAGTGCATTTCAAAAAATAGCACGAATCAAAACAGTCACACTAATAATAAGCAGACCTATATTTCATTGGAACAGTACATTTTTGGCATGGCACTGGCCAGGTCAAGTTTTCTGTAACACTTAGAAAATGTTAATTCTTGGATAGCATGGGCTTCTCCAAAGCAGTCAGGTACTGTGGCTTACTTTTTTCCTAGATAAATACCATCCCTATTTTCAGGGTTGGCAATTCCATATTTAGCAGAAAAATTGTGACAAGTCCCCTTGTGTGGTCACATTTATAATCTGTTTTTGAGTTGTTCAGTGTTGCTACAATTAAATCTATGTTTCTCGTTAACTTGATGTGAAGTGAAAAAGTCTTCTTATCCTTCAGTCACCATCATTGATCTATTCACTGTGCTATAACACAGGTTTCAGGGATCTAAATATTGCTTGAAGGTTGTTGAAAATGAGAGATATTACAAAACTGCTGAAAAGAGTATATATTTTGATGTCCTGATCAGCCACTTCAAATATATGTAGATCACTACATAATGTGCTCTTTATATTTGTTTTCTTAATGTTAAAATTTAACCTTACCTTTGGATTTCCTTCCTTTACTTCAAAGTATTTGCTATTTTCTGCAGGTAGTATGTTGCCATTTGCATATCTTAAATTGTTCATGTTCCTTCCTCCACTTTTCATGCCTCCTTCCTGAGATTCTAATCCACCTTTCCTCGTGATATGTTGAGCATATAAATGACATAGATTACGTGAGAAAATGCAGCCTTCCTGACCTGCTTTGTCAATTGGAAACCATTATTTTTCTCCATATTGTGTTCTGATAATAGTCTCTTTTAAAGTTCTGTCTTGGGGCAGTCAAATGTTGTGGCACACCCATTCTTCAGAGCAATCCATATTTTTTCAGTCAAAAGCTTTGCAGTAATTTATAAAGCACAGGCCGAGTTTCTTCTAAAACAATCTTTGGTATGTCACATTATCCAACTTACATTTGCAGTGTGGCTCTCTAGTTCTTCTTCCTTTTTGAACCCAGCTTGGACTTCTGACAATTCTTGTTCCATTTATTGTCTTTAAAAATTTGAGTATTGTTTTATTTGCATAAGAAATGTATTCAGTAGTTTGGTAATTATTGCAATTCCTTTTTCTTTCTTTTTTTTGTAGAATATGAATTGGATTTTTCCAATCTGTGGTCCCTTGTTTTCCATTTTTATGGGCAGATTTTAGTTTGGATTTGCATGGATTCTTTAAGGGACAAACTTCAGCAAGTCTGATTACATTGCCCCAGTTTCATGGAACAGTGGAGTGTCCTTTGGTTGGTAGAATTAGCAAGATTTAACAGGTTTGTCTTAACATATTTTTAATAGTAAGAAACACAGAGGGGAAAATTCTGGTTAGTTAGAAAGAAGGCTGAAGGAAAGTTTTTGTGTTTTGTCACATAACAGTGGTCATCCACTGAAGAGAAAAATCATGTGGCAGGCCAAGAAGGAATTATCTTGAATAATTTTTCAGACATGGTAGGTATAGCTTTAAAGTTGAAAGATATTAAAGAGAAGAGCAAATCCCAGGGAAGGCCAAAGCAGAGATTCTAGAAAAATGTTGAGCTGATAACTCTCTCTTTAATGGGTATGACTCAGACATGTAATTCCCCATGTTAGCCAATATAAGAAACAATGCTTAAGCTTTTCATACTATAGGAAGAGCCTTCCTGTTTATAACAAGGAATCAGTTAACTTCAGTTTCCATGACTTTCATAATCTGCATCTTGCTGTAGCTTTTTAAATAGTCCATTACTATAGTATTTTCAGTTTACAGGGATTTAATTTCTTAAATCATAATTAGTTATGTTAAATGGTTCTGAGTACATACTCTTTTGCTAGATCCGAACCTGCCTGCTTGATGTTATTGCAGGAACTATTCTATATGAGATAACTCCGAATATTAGCCAATGCCTGTTTCTACCAATACCTGATTTAAAGTATAGTGGTCCATCAAGGAGCTCAGCTTGAGTTGGATCCTTAGATAAACAGTCACCAACTGATTGGTTGTAGTTTATGTGTCCAACAGTTGGAAGGGATATGGTTCCAAAATATTAAATTGTAATGGAATCTTTGACAGAAAAGTTGAGTTGTGAAGGGTTTCTGGTTCTAGTTGGCAGTTCCTTGAATCAAACAAGCTGGTAGTTGATACAATTAAGCTGTCCCTACTCAGTAGGAATTGATGGATTCCAAAGAGTTATTGCTGCCCTTTGAAACATAGTACAATATCTTGGGATCTTGGGGCAACCAATTATGAGTTTCCTCCCCTATGCAGTTTCTTTCTTACTCAGTATTTCTCAACCTCCTAATGTGCTGAAGTCCTTAAACCGTAACATCTAGATTATTTTCCAAAGTGTGGGGACAGAATTCCAGTAGACCTCTTTTAGTCAGGTTCTATGTGACATAGTGAATATGATCTAATTAATCTGAAGAAATTTCAGATTTGGGTAATTTTCACTGGGATTGTTTTTTTAAAAAATCCTGTTTGCAAGTGGTAGCCCAAGATTGTGTCGAAAGTGAGTGCACTGGGGCGACACTGTTTTCAGTATCATATACTATATGTTGAATTATTAATCAAACCTGTATTTATATTCCCCTCAAGATACTAGATTACATCTGATCTCGGAAGCTAATCAAGGTCAGCTGTGGTTAGTACTGTGATGGGAGATCTCAAAAAATACCTGGATGCTGGAGGCTGTATTTCAGAAGAAGGAATTGGAAAACCACCTCTAAGAATTCCTCTGAAATTCACAGGGTTGCCATAAGTTGGCAGGCAGCATTGGGACAGATACTGTGTACAAATACAAACACAATATTTGTACCAATAGTATTAGCATAACTTCCCTGAAATAATGTTCGGACTTTCTGCTGTGAGGAGTGCACTAAAATTCTGTGGAACATGAAGAATCCTTTTCGGTTTACTTTGTTTTCTAGTGTTGGAAACTGGTTTCAAGTTTTTAAAAATAAATTGTGAATACGAATTTTTTTTACATAGTGCTTCCTCAGAAGTAAACCCCATTATACTTCATTAAGTAGGCAGAGGGCCCTTCCACACAACCATATAATCCAAAATATCAAGGCAAAAAATCACACAATATCAACTTTGAACTGGGTTATCTGAGTCCACACTGCCATATATTCCAGTTCAAAGCAAAAAAAAAAATAGGATTTTATTCAGCTGTGTAACAGGGGCCAGAGACTTCAACCGGTGTCGAACAGTTCTTGCCTAGTCGTTGTGACACCTTTATTTTTACTTTTTGATGGTTAACAAAGTGTACTACAAATGTACTACAAATCATAGGTTAGTTGCCTTGCTGTGAGATATAAAACCAAGTAGTGTTTAAGTGGAAAGAAAAGGGGTAGGAGATCCTTTGCTTAAGTCTTATTTGTCACTTTCCTCTTATTTAGTAACATGATCCTGAATTACTGTTATGAAAGGTTGGAGAAATAGCTACAGTCAGACATAATCCAGGAATGTGCTGTGCAAGCTTCACTCCACAGCTCTGTCAATGCCCTTTAATTCGTCTATTATTTCGAACTTGGCTGCTTGCTTTTGACTGATGATGTTTTCACTTCTGCTGGTGAACTATGAATGGGTTACTTATGAAAAGTGCCAGACTGATAATCCTGGAATATGAAGTCATTGATTCAGTCATGAAGAGAAAAGACAGCAATTTTGGAAGCTTAATACACTAGCCAACAAAATATTGTGAGGATGAGAGCACTACCATAGCTTGTATTGAGGAAGCAGAACATATTTTGGCCTTGAGGGCTTGCTGGGGATTCATGGATGGTACATGTTCACATACATACTTTCTGGAGTTGGGCTTCAACCTTACCTCCATCTCAACATTCTAACACAACATAATTTGGGTGTAAATGGGCTACTTCTGGATTGTTGTTGGAGAACAAAGCTAAAGCCTTCTCTGTCCACAGCAAATCCCAATCAGTAATGCTGCCAAATAACATAATTACTTGCATAGCAACAGAAATGATGGCTGCTTTATGATCACTGAGTGAGGATGTACTTTTAGGGTCCCTTTAGTGCCTCATATTGGTATTGCTGTCTTCATGTCACCATTAGGATCACTGGGAAATGGGGCAGGTGGTATTTGACAGTGTAGACACTGTCCTCCCGGGGACTACATGTAGTCCATATTTCATCTGTTGGGAATACGTGTGAAGTTTCACACAGTTCAGATGTTTCAAGGTTAGCAATGCAAGAACCTTGGTCTTCTGAGACCTTCCTGAACCCAGTTGTGTGAATTCACTTGTTCAAAAAGCTATAAAGCCAGACTACTGGTGGTGTCCCCTTCTTTGGAGGTTTTCAAGCAGAGTCTGGTGTTTTGGTTCTATGTTCCTGTATGGCAGGGTGATGAACTAGATGTCCCTTGTGATCTTTTCCACCTCTATGATTCTACTAAGGGCTCTTAATGCAGCTTCAGATGTTTTTGTTAGGATGCCCAATTAGGATGATGAATTCATCTTGAAATTTACTATGTCATTATAAAAATCTAGATCAACATTCTCAACATATTCTAATATTTAACTTTGGTCAGGATCAATATAATATTTTGGAATTTTAGAAATATTTCATTTCCAGATTTGTGGAACACACATGAAGTTTGTATTGCATTGTTTTAATCTGATGTTATTTTTATTGCTTAATCTCACATTAACATTTGTATTTTATGTATTTTAACACTATTTTAACTTATTGTAAGCTACTTTGAGTCCTGAACTGGAAAAAAGGTGGAATAAGAGGAGGAGGTATTGTTTAATTACTGATGTATTTCTTGTTTCATTCAATGTATGTGTGAGCCACCTAGATTTTAAAAAATCATAAAATTTTAACATAAATAAAAATATTTTACTGCATCTTAGTTTCACCTTTATTCCCTCTGATTATCCTTAGTTCCTTTAAAAATTGATATATCTAAACACTATTTTCTACAGTGAGGAGCTCCGGAAAGAAGCACGTCAACTTAAACGTGAACTACTTGCTGCAAAGCAAAAGAAAGAAGAAAATGCCACCAAACCAAATGAAAGTAATACTGAAGGTAAGACATGAAGTAAGGTAATATTTGCACAGTTGTACACAAATGCAGTGGGACAATTTTCTCAGTAGCTAGGGTGCTAAATACCCTCAAAATATCCAAGAATCTTGTATATACTTTGCTCAAGAAGATAAACATTGAACCTCAGCTAGCTATTATTATGACATAGTTTCTTGAGATATTTTGCCTTCCAGAAAGTTTTAATGATTGCTGGCCATTTACTTTATAGAACAGAAACTAATGGGATCAAATGAGAATTGAGTCTTCTCCAATATGCATAACATTTCCTTTCTGGTTTTGTGATCTACCCTGGTTTAGATATCTTTTCTTGCTCTATAAAATCGTATTTTATTACAACAAAAAACCAGAATTGGCACACATGAATTATATTGGGTTGGCAGAATATAAAGTTGAATATTATACTGAATGTAAGGATTATCCATTCAATTCCTCTATTAACAGTTGAAAAATTAGCTTGCTTGTTAAAGCAGCGCAGAGCTTTTAGTTATTTCAATATTAGTGAGTAGCCAGTAAGTTGCTATCTAAAATCTAACTGCTATTAATACATTTGTTATAAAGTCTAGATCAACAGTCCCACTGTATTCTAATGATTACTGCTGGTCATGATAAAAATAGTATTCTAAGGTTTTCGCAATCTTTTCTGTACAGATTTCTGGTATATTTTATTTTATTAACAAAGTTAAAAAATAATTTTTATTTTATTTTATTTTATTGACAAAGTTAAAAAATATTTGCGTTTTGGTGACATTTTCAGCAAATACTGAGGATGCCAGTAAGTTGATTTCTGAGGCCTAAGATACTGTATTTCATTGCATAATAGCTACCACTGAATAGTAGTCACACCACCATTTTGAGATGCCAAAAATTATATTTTTATTTTCTTCTCATAACAGTCGTACCCCCATTTGAAATTGATTCTCCCTTAACTCCTTCTTTCTCCAAAGGCAAGGCAGTTTAATAACTATAAAATGGAAATCTCTGACACTCCAATCTTCTTTCCTTTCTCTCCTTTCTCCTTCCTCTGGGGCAAGACAGTTTTTAAAAAGCTGAAATTGAGGTCTCAGGAACTTGGATCGTCCCTCCTTCCTTCCTTCTTTAAAGAACTCAATTTCAGGCTTTCTATACTGAGTAGCCTTGGAAGAAGGATGGAAGAGGAAAGAATACAGCTCCAGAGACCTCCATTTTATAGTTTTTTAACTGTCTTGCCTTCAGAGAAGGAAGGAAGGAAGGAAAGAAGGAAGGAAGGAAGGAAGGAAGGAAGGAAAAATCAACCCGAAATGACTCTATAGTTTAAAAAACAAACCAACAGGAACAGAGCTCTCCTCCTACTCCCCTTTTTTCCTCATGTAATAGTCACACACCCCTTTTTGACCAAAAAGGGGGAAAGCGACTATTATGCGATGAAATATTGTATATTGCTTGCTTATTTTACTGAAATGAACTCAGTGGTAATTATTCAATCCTATTCTCAGTGGTAATGATTCAATCCTATTCTCTTTGTTATATTATTCACTTATTTGAGCAAAATCCTAACTGATTGAGATGGCCAATGTGAGGCTAGATGAATCCTGTGCCAAATTTAAACCCCCATCAGCTTAAGCACGTTGGAAACTACTTGGAAGTGTTTTTGTCCAGACATATCACCATTGGCTCCAGCTCCTTGGGCTTGAACAGGTCCAGAACTGAAGTACCTCAGCCTCTTCACTGCCCAGTTTTTTTGGTTCTTCTGCAGCAGTTGTTTTGTTAACATATCTCTGTCAGCTAGATTTTGTTGGCTAAGTCTGTGTTGTTATATTGTGACAAGGAGCAATGTCTGGGTATTGTTTTGGATCTGCTTTTAAACAGCATTGTTACATTTCATATAGGGCTAGTTCAGAGGTTGCCATCATAACTTCGTAAACTTAGACCTTTTTCTCCCACCTTCTCTCTCTTGCCAGCTGTGTTTAAACCAGACCTACTTAAACTTCAGTCTTTAAAATGTACTTCATTTTTAGAATCAGAACCTTCAGGTCTCCTAAACAGGGACCATGAGCCTGACTTCAAGTAATTTAAAATTTAGAATGGTAGTACCTCTGTGCATATATTCAGTTCAAAAATTGGGCTTCAAGAGCAAAAGTAATCTCTCAGTTGTTTCCCACACATTTCCACTCCTGGTTTCACTCCAGCCTTTCAATGCCTCAGCAATCTAATTTAGATTGCGGGGAAGTTTTCTTTGTTAAGCTATTCATAGTGAGAAATTTCAGGTCATCAGAAGCTCTAATGTAGATGCCAATCTACTTTCTTCTAAGCCCTGGTTTAAACCCAGTTTCCTATTACCCCTAAACCAGGAAACTGGTTGATTTTACTAATCAGTATATGAAACTGGAATGAAATCAAAGTCTCAGTGCCCATAGTCAATTGGCATGGCATCAAACCCTTTAGGAAAGACAAAGTCCTCATGGAGTGGTGACTGTCAAATAAGTTGGAAATCTTTAACAATTGCCTCTTCATTTGTTGCATTTTATTTTAATTTTTTACCATTGGGCCAAATCCCATGCTTCAGCTGCTCCAGCATCTTCTACTGCTCTAGGAGCAGAAGATATAATTTTCAAGCCTCTTTCAATCTTTCTTTTGTAATCTTGCTGCCAAACCAGGCTTTAAAAATGCATTAAAATACCTCAGGGTGTGCTGTGCCAAAATCTTGCAAAAGTCAAACCTCATAAACCCAATTTAAACAGTAGGCTTATTCCCAATGTTATATACCATCTGTAATAAAAACAAGAGAGAGCCTTGTGGCACATTAAAGACTAACATATGTATTTCGTGTCATAAGCTTCTGACGTCTAGAGTCATCTTTTTCAGCTGCGTTGGTGATAAGTGAGCTTTAAAAAAAAAGAAAAAAGAAACTTGGTATTGCAGAATCAACACACAGGTAGTTTTCACTCATAACAGTAAGTCCACATTCTTCTTGGATTATGCACAACCTCTGTGTTTGTACACATGCATGGTTTATCCCCTCTTCCCTTCATTCAAGCAAATAAAACAAACCAAGAAAGATTTTTTTACTGGGATATCCAAATGGATGATCCTGATCTGGTGCTCCTAAATAAGCCAAAAATGATTTGAATCATTTTTTGTTGTTGGGTTACAAATCTTGGCTTGTTAGGATATACTTATGAGCCCACCGTTTTCTTTAATTTACTTGTGTAAAGGAAGAAAGAAGCCAGCCAAATTGTCTGTGATTTCCTCATGCTGGTTGTTCTCATTAAGCCTGGATAAACCACAATCCTGGTTCATTGTTATTTGTGAGTGTGGTTGTTCCCTATTATGTTGCTGAGGGACACTAAGCACAAGTAGCTCACAGTGCAAGATGCCAAAAAAAAAAAAAAACACAAAAAACCAGAGGGTGATTCCAGAAGATACAGAAATCAGTATTCGCTGGGTTTAGTAAAGATGAGAAAGAATAAGAAGGGAAATGTGAGGGGCAACATTCATGAAACTTCAGTCTCAGAAACTGAAGTGGGAGTCCAGAGAATCCTGTAGTGAATAAGTTAGCAAATAAAACAAGGGACTTGAATAACTACAGAGCCAATCAAGAGGAAGGAACACCAAGATCGGTGGAGTTGGGTTTGTGGTAGACACTAATTTTTGGCACTTTTAAATGGTTTTAAAGAGAATATAAAATGTAGAGATTCTAACAATAGAGCTTAATAACATCACAAATTGTCTGTTTTTAACTGATTTCAATTTTATTGATAGCTTAATTATTATTTTAAAGCTCATTTGTTTTAACAGTTTTGTAATCCTCCTTGGGTCTTGGATTGGAGAAACGTTGGGATACATGTCATTATGAAAAGGGATAGTATAAAAAGAGGAATAAATACTGACCGGTCTTGACTTCAAATATGTCAACCAAGTTTCAACTAAAAGACTGCATATTTCAAATTATGCAGTCTGACATTTAGGGCCCTATTTTGTCATTAAGGAATAATAATGATGCCACTCTACCCTCTCCCAACCCAGAATACTTTATCATAATAACCTGGGAGTCCAGTTATGACTAGATTTATTTATTTTCTGCAGGCCTTTACTCTAAATTATTTTTCTCAAACTTGCTCTTATTCTTTGAATTTAAATATTTGATTGAATTGTTATGCAGAAAAGCTAAATACTGTACACATGTAGGTTTAAGTAAATGTTCTGATCTGCTTTGTGAAGATAAGGTGTCTGTTCCTTTCTGGTGCATTATCAAAACAATGCCTCGCTTGTGAATTGTCAAAATATAGGCTAGACGGAACAACCAGTGCTTTCAAAATAAAGAGAGGATTAAAAACAATAGTTATTTGAGATAACTCCTGAGGCAACACAGAGATCACATTTAATCATTTAAGTTACATTTCCAAGTTACATTTTAAAAGAGAATTACATAAATAATAGTGCTATGTTAGCATATAAAGAGACCTGTCTGTATTGTAGTGTGTATTTTTATTGTGGCATTTTTAAATGAGTGTTATTATACAATTGGAAAAAATTCTTTTAACACTCAAAAGATGATAGATCTGCATGTACTGTTTTGCGGGAGTCAGGGAGGATATCCCGGAGTACATGCCTTTATATCAGGGTGGAAAACCTATGTCTCCCAAATGTTGTGTCTTCCAAACATTAGACTTCTACTTCCATCAGCCAAGACAGTATGGCAAACAGTCAGGAATTATGAGAAGTGGAGTCTAAAAACATCTGGGAGACCACATCTTCATTGATCTCACATTATACAATTTAGTAACAGATCCTTCTACATTTAACTTAGCTAGCATCCCATGTCAAATTATTTTATGTAGAGAAGGGTTGGGCAATTTTCAGGAGTCAGGCAACCACACCAACCTTCTATGGGAACTTCTATGGGAGAGCTGTACTCACAGCATTGTGCTTCCTATCCCATAAAACAACATTGTGCCCCAAGTAGCCAGTTGCCATCAAATTATTGGGAGAGGGGGCAAGATTGG